GGGGGAAACTGGAGCACCCAGAGGAAACCCACGCCAACACGGGGAGAACATGCAAACTCCACACAGAAATGCCAACTAACCCCAACCAAGGCTCAAACCAGCGATAGATGGATGGATGGATGGATGGATGGATGGATGGATGGATGGATGGACGGATGGATGGATGGATGGATGGATGGACGGTTAGTTGGATGGATGGATGGATGGATGGATGGATGGATGGATGGAATGATAAATAGAATGATAGAATGACAGATACAACGATAGAACAACAGACAGACAGATGGACGGGCCGACGGACAGACAGAACAATGGATAAATAGAATGATAGAATGACAGATAGAACAATAGAACAACAGACAGACAGACAGACAGACTTGGGACTAGATATAAGGACTTGCACACAGGGTTATTTGACAAACAAAAGAAACTCTCCCTTCTGCATTTAAATTTAGCAGCTGCAGTTCTGGCGAATCAACACACTTCCTGTTCCCTTACAGAGACACAAACCAGCTGAATCTGACCTAACTCACACACACACTAAACTTTGTGGTCTAGGGAATCTATTTGAACAAAAACAGCTTTAAATAAATAACATCTAAAGATGTAGAAGTATGACGATTTAAAAAAATAATTAATCAAAACAACATCGCAACAAAAATAACTTTACACACACACACAAAAGGTTTAGGAATTTTTTTTTTAGAAAAATGCATCCAAATGTGATCACCAACTCAACCTCATTTCCTTCCACATGTTTTCAGACCTGAATATTGCCAGACAAATTAAACTAATGCTAAATACCTCATTTTCTCTGGAAATGTTTGGAAGTTTTTGAATGCACGTTTCTACAAAACTCGTTCATAGCTGTAAACTTGACATTCCATGAATGATCAACAACAACATTAACATCCTCAAACTGACCTACATCATGATTTAAGAACAGAACAGAGACTTTCTGACAGATTGACGACACAGATGCATGCATCTAAGCAGCTTCCACCGACTCTAATCTCTACCATGCCAATTAAGAGCATGCCAACTGCTCATTACAGCACCAATAAACACTCCTGAAGCTGTATTTAAGTGTTTCACCACATACAGATTGATACACCAGGGCTAGAAGTATAAGTCTGGAATCTGCCAGAATTTTTGAATTAATTCTCCATGTTTGCTCACACCTTGATCTTGTATATTCTGCGTTTGTGTTCACAAGAGTTTCACGTTTCTCCCAATATTATGATGTCTGAACTCCCAGATGTGAATAGCGAAGAGCTGTTATGATTGGAAAGGTCTTTTCTGACATTGCAGTGACTAGTGAAATCTGTCCGAACCTTTGATGGATGTCTAAAAATAAACCCACCAACCAAACCACCAGCTGCTCCGTCCTCATGTATTCTGACACTGTTTGCTGAGCTTTGATGTGGGTAGAGATTTTGGTTAAAGGAATAAAGGAAAAGACTTCGCTCTCCAAAGATTATAATGCATATTAGAAATATCAAAACATGAAGCTTGTATTATATTACAGGTGTGTTATATTTTGATGTTCTTTTTTTCTCAAAAAGTGGACCTTTTTTGCAGTTATACGCCTCAGTTTCTATTTAACTATGAGATTACAATACTGCATTTTAGTGACTTTTTTTGCTGGATTAGTCAGATTTGATCATAACCACATTTTTTGATGTATTAAAAATATTTCCCAAAAATGCAATTAAAAAAATTAAATCAGATTAATTAAAAAATAAAATAAAAATTATTATATCATATATTATTAGGAAATATCTGTTAAAGTCTTAAAAACAAATTGTAGACTACTATCACTTATTAGAATAAAAACAAACCGGCCAGCACATGCAACTGTCCTCAATTTGGACATTTCAATAAAAAAGTAATAATTACAACAATAATATTAATAATAATAATCATTATAATAATAATACAATATTAATTATTCTTCAGATTTTTTCTAGCCTCTTTGGTTTAACAACATAAAGCCTTATTACACCTACAGGTGTTTCAGGCGCATGGTCAGATTTTCTCCAGGTCAAAATTTATTTTGTTTATATTAATTTCATCCCAAAAATGATTAGACCGGTGCAGTTTCATCTGGAATGCATCCCAGATCACCTTCTGAAGTGGTTTGAGTGATTGGGTTTATATCCGATCAGAATAAAACAAATAAAGTGAGAAAAAAAGCCTCAAAAACACAGACGTGACGGGATTGCACCTTTTGCTGTGAAGTGACATCTGACAGCTGAGGACTCCGCTTCCCATTTAAAGCTTTCCTCGGACAGTTATTTAAAAAAAAATTAATGGCAAAAATAGGGAAAGGGAGGTCATGTACTGGACAAGTCAATAAATATACAGGACGTCCTGGCTAATGCGGCCAGTTAGCCTAGAACCTCATGGATGGGGCATCTGTTAGGAAGTTAGTAACTTTTGCCTTCCCCTGTTTGGCAGTCAGTATCCATGAATGTCGCATCAAAGATTTAAATGTTACCACTCAGTGGGTTATGTCACGTTACTCGCGTCACATTATTGTGGCTTTGAGGCTCGAGATTTGAATTACTGGCCAGAGTTGATTAAAATGACACTATTACAATAAATATTGAATATAAACTAATATAATAATATATAATATTATATATAATAAATATAATAAATATATTATATAATGTTAAATTACATAAAATAATTAAAGGGACAAATTCTGGACCTTTTGCCAACCCCCCTGGCTACAGGCATGCATGGTACATGTCAAAAGAAACAATAGGGTATATGCAGAGCTAGTGTTTCTTCCCATACTGATAAACTTCCAGTGAAGGGTTAATGTGACTTTTTAATTTCATATGGTTTCTTTTAGAGCATCGATGCTGCACTGTTATTAAAATGCACTCAGTTAAATAGACTTCAGTGTTCATTTAGTTGTTGAGGCATAAACTAAGATAAGAAAAGCCATTTATATGCAAGCATCTGTCAGGATCAACAGATGAGCGCATAAACACCATTGGAAATACTGGAGTAAAATAAATGTAAATATTTTAAAGACACGACGTGGAAAAATTTACTTTAATTAAGGGCTTCTTGTACATTCTAAGACCCACTTTATAGCGTTTAACATTTAGGCAGTGAAGATTTACAGACCTTAAACACGCCAATTTGGTAACTGCAGTTCACCGGAAGCGTTTGACCCAGGTTACTGACAAATTAAAGGTCCTTCTGTGTGCTTCTGCATTTACCCTATGGGCTATATGTACACAGACTTTTCATTTTCAGCCAGGTAGCCCAAGGGCTTCCGTTGAACTGTCTTTCCATTACAAAATTGTCACGTTTATAATCTGATTTCTTTAAAAATCAGCGATCTTCACTGTTTGTTCAGCCTAATCTCACAAGGAAACGCAAGTATTTTACGTTTTGTCAGTTTAGTGGCTTATTCGTACAAATTCGTACAAGTTCAATCGTACGCAAATGTACAATTTTAAAAAGGAGGCGTGGCACCCAATCGCACTCCTAACTCCAACCAACATTGGGTGATGAGCATATCGTACTAAATTGAACGAATTAGATCGCGCTAGTGGTTACAATGGTCTTTCATCTTGTTTTACAACTAAATGAATGCTTAAGTCTATTTAACTGAATGTATTGTAATTATATTACAACATCAATGCTGTAAAAACAACCTTGCGAAATTGAAAATGGTCACATTAAACTTTCACCGCAAATTCATGATTGGCTTTAAAAACTCTAGCTGTGCATAGAGCCCATTATAAAGGGCACAAATATAGTAACATGATCATGGGCAGGGATGGGCAGTATTTAGGATACATGTATTTTAAATACGTATTTTACATACAAAATAGAATTTTGTAATTAGTATTTGATAGGGCTGATGAAAATGGCTAAATATTTTGTATTAAAATACTTTAATGTCTTGTATTTTAAAAAATACGGTAAAATACTTTGTAAGACATCTACATCAAGATATATAAATGCACCCTCTGATTGGTGCTTTAGATGTTACTGACTTCCATTTAAAGAAGCACTGAAAAAATCTTACAAACAAATAATAGTAGTTTTGGATGGATTGCTGACGCCAAATGTCATTAAAACAAACAATATAAAAATAAGTCCGACAGTGGCGATTCCTACAATACTTCATTGGCTTGTTTTAAATGCCTGTAGTTGATCAGTTGGTCCACTGTATAGTTCATGAAGAGGAAGAGTTCATGAAGAGTTCAATACAGTTAAGAAAATCTGAAAAATTCTGTGAACAATTTTTTTAATAAACTATTTAACACCCTTTTAAAATATTAAGAGGCTGAATGATCATTGTACAGAGATGATGGCAATTCTACTGGCTGCATCTGCATTTGCTATCAAACATTGATTACTTCACTAACTCAGGGAAGGGATTGATCGAATAGGTCTAATTGGTGAAAGATTTGCAAATAAATGTCATGCTCTATTGTAAAAGTGTTTTGTAGTATTTTTTAAAATATAAAATACTATATTTTATTTTGATACATATTGTGAGTGCTGTATGTTGTGGTTTAATTTGATACACCACAAAATTAAGATACTTGGTACTGTATTTTAAAATGCATTTGAACCAACCCTGATCAAGGGATGTAGATATACAACATGTGTGTGAATGACTACCATTTACATCTATTTTTTAAATATCATGCTAAAATTATCTATAAACAGTGTATGATTGCATTAAATCATGTCAAATGTTATATTTAGTAGGGTTTTCTGATGTTGTTAGATTTAATGTTAATAAAAAAATAACTGTTGAGACTAATTCCGCTCAAAACTTGCTAGTATTGCTAGCAAATTGCTAGTAAAATCAATGTACAAATAAACGTCAAGTAAAAAAAACGGATCCAAAACAACTGAAGTGAAAATTTAATCATTGTTTCCAACTTCGATAAATCACTTGTACACAATATCACACTATTTCGTTGTACATATGAACAATAATCGCAGTTTTGTCTTACCTGTCCTCACAGCACACCGGTGACATGGAGAGTCTATGTCAGTTTTGAGCGTTTTTGAGGTGTTTTCCACCCTGACCATTCCTGCGAACATCATGGTGGTTTAACACTGGTAAATCCCCGAAACTACTTGGTTATTTACTTAGTTTTTTACTTTAGTTCAACTCCAAACGCGACGCGGGTCATCCTCCGTTGGGCTGCGCGTGCGCTTTTTGCGCGTGCACCGGACGCCGTTCACTTTCCAACAGAAATCTGAATTATAACTTCACGCTTTCCATCCGATATTCCGCAAGTTGTCATTTATACAATCTTAATCAACCCTTCAATAAAATACCCCCTCAAGTCACCGATGAGACTTAAAAGGCGAGTTTCCTGTGAGAGGAAAAACTCCGCAAAGCAATCCTGAAGAAAGATCGTCGTTTTTCCGTCTGTTTAGGATGTCTCGAGTGTTTTCTTCATGTTATTTTTAATATCCAGAGGAAAAGAGAGGCCATAGCAGACGGTTGTCAAGCAGCAGTCGAGAGGCGGAACAGAGGCGCACTTTGTCCCGTTATGTGGACGGTTGTGGAGAAGGAGATTCGGTCGGTGACGTCTGCTGGAATTTGACTCCTTTGATTCACTGATTCTTGATTCACTCGAGGTGAACTCAAGTCAACCCAATGATATCTGATGGACAAGCTTCACTTTTGGAGACATTTAATTATTAAACTGCCAAACAGAGGATAAGTAATTATAAAGAAAATGCAAAACATTTCAGAAAACAGAAATGTGTTATTAGGTTTGAAGTTGATTATGTAAATGATGTCCGAAATAGCGATGCATACACACTTGTGTAAAATCAGCAAAAACTAATGATTTAAATACACTGAACAAATGTTGATTTGTATCAGTGGATAATTATTGCAGTGTTTAAAATCCCTTATAGCCTTTAAGCTAATGTATACTACCTGACAAAAGTTTTGTCGTGGATCCCATTTGTAGGAGTAACAAATAATAACTTGACTTCTAGTTGGAAAAAGTGGCATAAGGTCGATTTTTCCTATGAATCATCTGTTGAACTGCATCCCAATCAACACAAATACTGCAGAAGACCTACAGGAACCCACATGGAGCCAAGATTCCACAAATTTGAAGGAGAAATCATGGTTTGGCGTTAGATTCAGTATGGGGGCTGTGCGAGAGATCTGCAGAGTGGATGATCAACATCAACAGCCTGAGGTATCAAGACATTTGTGCTGCCCATTACATTACAAACCACAGGAGAGGGACAATTCTCCAGCAGGATAGCGCTCCTGCTCATACTTCAGCCTCCACATCAAAGCTCCTGAAAGTAAAGAAGGTTAAGCTGCTCCAGGATTGGCCAGCCCAGTCACCAGACATGAACATTATTGAGCATGTCTGGGGTAAGATGAAGGAGGAGGCATTAAAGATGAACACAAAGACTCTTGATGAACTCTGGGAGTCCTGCTGAACGCTTTCTTTGGCATTCCAGATGACTTTATTAATCAGTGATTTGAGTCATGTCAGAGATGTATGGATGCAGTCCTCCAAGCTCATGATGGAGTCAGACACAATATTCATTCTGTCTCCACTGCAGCAGGACTTTATATTCTATACTGGACATTATTTCTGTTCAGTGATGACACTTTAGTCTTAGCAGAGTCAGACCTTACTGTCCTAATCAAATCATTCAAAATTAAGGCATGATCATATTTTATTGTGCTCAAATAAGCAAATAAATAATAAATATATTCACTTTATTGACCCAGCAAATATATTTAAAAAATACTGTATATTTTAAAATATGCATCGAAATTGGTAGTTATTGGTAGCTTGAAGACAATTTGATCAGCTCCTGTGAAATTTGATATATTTTTAAAACATTTTTCAAGTGATGTTTAACAGAGCAATGACATTTTTCTCAGTATTTCCTCGTATATTTTCATTTTGGAGAAAGTCATTTCTTTTGGGGAAAAAGAAAATTCCAGGAGGGCTAATAATGTTGCCATCTACTGTCCCATGTCTATGAGTCTCTTTAATTATAAACTGTAAACAGCAGATCAACATATGCTGTAATAATAGTAAATGTATGCATGCACTCATTTTCACTCAGTCATGGTGGAGAATTATAATCAGACATCAGATGTGTTTGTGGTGTAATCTATGCTGGAGTGCGGACACACAGAGCTCCTGTTGTCAGTGTGTGTGTTTCCCTGTGTTTGTCTCTCTCGGTGAATGAACAGAACAGCTCTTTGTGTCCACCTCTACAGTCAATACAGAGTCTGATCTGAGGCCTGTGTTGGTCTCATAATGCTTTAATTGAGCTAAACTGCTCACAGCCTCGGAATCACAGCCTCCTACTGAAGCAGACTAATCGAATTAACATCTGAGCTCATGACTTTTAGACCCAGTAAACCACTTCCACATGACAAAATACTACAGTAATTTAAGATAAACACTACAGAACCATAATATAGTAAAGAACTTGATGTAATCTGTTGCGGCAATTGCCATTGTAAAAAACAACTATGGTAATATAAACAAATCACTCAATAGTGTTAAACAACTGTAGGGTATATACTACAATACACCACAGTAACTGTAGTAAAAACGGAAGTATAATACAATATTTATCAGTTCATCACTTATACAACAGTATATCACTATAGTTATATAAAAAGTGTTTACTATAAATGAGTACTAGAATATGTACTCACTGGCCACTTTATTAGGTACACCTTACTGGTAGTCTGTTGGACCATCTTTTGCCTTCAGAACTGCCTTAATCCTCCGTGACATGGATTCAACAAGGTACTGGAAATATTCCTCAGAGATTTTGGTCCATATTGACATGATAGCATCACGCAGTTGCTGCAGATTTGTCAGCTGCACATCCATGATGCCAATATCTCTATCCACCACATCCCAAAGGTGCTATATTAGATTGAGATATGGTGACTGTGGAGGCCATTTGAGCACAGTGAACTCATTGTCATGTTCAAGAAACCAGTCTGAGATGATTCACGCTTTATGACATGACGGGTTATCCTGCTGGAAGTAGCCATCAGAATGTGGTCATTAAGGGATGGACATGGTCAGCAGCAATACTCATGGCTGTGGTGTTGACACGATGCTCAGTTGGCACTTATGAGTCCAAAGTGTGCCAAGAAAACCTTCCCTACACCATTACACCACCATCACCAGCCTGAACCATTGATACAAGGCAGGATGGATCCATGCTTTCATGTTGTTGATGCCAATTTATGACCTGACTATCTGAATGCCGCTGGTTGTGCGTGAAAATCCCAGTAGATCAGCAGTTTCTGTAATACTCAGAGCAGCCTATCTAGCACCAGCAACCATGCTACGTTCAGTCACTTAAATCACCTCTTGATCATCAAGACATCTTGACCATGTCTACATGCCTAAATGCATTAAGTTGCTGTCATGTGATTGGCTCATTAGAAATTTGCATTAACGAGCAGTAAGAAAGGTGTACCTAATAAAGTGGCCAGTGAGTGTATATATATATATTTTTATGAGGGCTGAAATCAGTAAACGAGGCTTCTTTCTAATGTCTGCATAATGACCTGAAACATTTTTTTAATTTTTTTTATTGATTACACAGAGCAGTACAAAGTTATACATAAAACAGTATACATACAAGAGAGTTATCAATAAAAATGAATCATGCACAGTATATTATTTGTCTTTTTCAGCAGTTGAGATGTCCTAAATGTACACTAAGCACACAGAAACATATAAAAAGAATACAAAACAAAATAGATTTTCTAATAATAGACTTAATATTAATAGTTAATTTGCAAAACCATCAAAAAATATAAATGAGATGGACTACGAAAAGTGACCAAACGCATCCCACATAAAGAATACTCATAATACACACATAATTAACTTTAGTGAACTGATAAACTGCAATCAATTTTGCTGTATACTCTATTTTTATTAAGGCAAGGCAAGGCAAGTTTATTTATATAGCACATTTCATACACAGTGGCAATTCAAAGTGCTTTACATAAACAAGAATAAAAGAAACAAGTAAAATAAAAATAAAAACAAATAATAAAAATGAATAAAATATTAGTAAAAAATACTATATTTTTAGAATACTTGAATGAGTCTGCTGGGGTAATTATATTGTAATATAAACAAATGACACAATACTGTAGTTTTCTACAACTATGGGCTATATTATGCCACAATACATCATAGTTTACTGTGGTGAAAACTAAAGTATACTACAATATTACAGTTTATCAGTGTTAGAGCCATAAAGAGCACTAAGAGATTTGTAATATTTTTCTATAATATTATATCATTTGTTTTGAGATATATAGTTATTGCTATTTAATACAGCATTTAATATGTTTACTATGTGATATTATATTATGTATATGACGTTTCATATGTTCAATAATGCCATACGTCACATGTATGCGTAAGCAACAGGGCTGGACTGGGGCAAAAAAATCGGCCCTGGCATTTTGGGCCACTACATTCAATCAAAATGCTATCTATCTATGCACGTCCAATATTTTTATCGACTCATATTTTATAAAACACAAAAGCCATATATATGAAATAAACAAATAAATAAATACAAACTTTAATCTCAATTTAATTTCTGTATACTGTCCATAAAGATATTTGTTGAGTTCTAAAAAATACACTATTCCTTTATTTATTTTTCTTCGCATTAGTCCTTTATTTATCAGGGGTTGCCGCAGTGGAATGAACTGCCAACTATTCCAGCATGTTTTATGCAGCAGATGCCCTTCCAGCCACAACCCAATATTGGAAATCACCCATACACACTCATTCACACACACTCATACACTACAGCCAATTTAGCTTATTCAATGCACTATTCACTCAGCCTATATTCAATAATAAACATAACAAAAACTTACTAAGCTTACTAAGCAACAGGGAAAAAAATGTAGGGGCTTTAATCACTTGGTGGAATTCTTTTAAAGGAATTGGAAAGTTATGTATCTTCATAAAATCCTCATAAGATAGTATGTTTCTATTATCATAAAACAAATCTGTAACAAAATATATGTTTTTTTGAAACCATTTATGTAAAAATGAAGATTTGTATCCTAAGTTATTATTTTTGTTTATATGTATAGAAGTATTTTGTAAGATTATTTTATTTTTTATTATTATTATAATTTTTTAATTGTGTAATTTTTTTTCTCTCTCCTGTTCTGTTTTTGCATAATCATTTTTGGTTGTTGCTGTTGTTACTATAGTAATGTTTTTGAATATAGTAAATATACAAATTGTTGTATTATTACTTTATGTAATGTTTCAAAGCTATAATAAAATAAATAAATAAATAAAAGAAGGAAGGGGCTTGATGCTAGACAGTCTTTTGACTGTTCTTCGAAACCATATTTATATTGAAGCTTAGTAAAGTGTAAATAGTTCTTCCGTTTGTTTTTTGATTTTTGTTGTTCCTGACAAACGAAAAGTTAACTGTTGCATTACTGAAAAAAAGTGTTGCATGCAGAACTGTTGCAAACAATTTATTTGTGTTGAATTTCAACAAACAAATTAAGTTTACTAATGTTCAACTTAAGGGCGAGGCAGTGGCGCTGTAGGTAGTGCTGTTGCCTCACAGCAAGAAGGTCGCTGATTCGAACCTCGGCTCAGTTGGCGTTTCTGTGTGGAGTTTGCATGTTGCAGCTGGAAGGGCATCCACTGTGTAAAAACTTGCTGGATGAGTTGGCGGTTCATTCTGCTGTGGCGACCCCGGATTAATAAAGGGACTAAGCCGACAAGAAAATGAATGAATGATTGTTCAACTTAATTTGTTTGTTTAAATTCAACACAAATAAAGTGTTTACAACCACTTAACGTAAAAAAATGAGTAAATCCAAGGAATCATATCTGCATTAATTTTTTCAGTAATTGCAAGTTTGTGGTTTTACGCGTCAAATCCTTTGTGCCGAGTCAATGGTGGAAATGGAAATGGTGGAGAACTGGAAGAAATAGACCGCCATTACAATCAGTTTTCCAATACGATAGAGCATTCATAAACAAAGTGTTTAAATACTATATTATATACAGTATAATATATTTTACTATGGTATAGATAAAAAAAAATGTATATATAATTTACAATAAATCACTAAATGCCTTCATCTGTCTTGATAATGTTCATTTTTATTGTGGTGCAGTGCAGTTGGTCAGGATGGCCACTATGTGTCAGCATTTAACGTGCAATTTTAATGGACATGAATGAAGGGGAAAAGATAATATTATTTGTAAAAGATGCACTGGTTTATAATCTCGCTTTTTTCGTTTATTTATGTCTATTGAGCACAAGAAGACTTACATCCATCATTATTTCAACAGCTGAGAAAGAAGCTTGATCTGGTTATTTGTCAATTAAACAAATTGAATTGTGTTTTGTTATATATTTATAATAGATTTAACTCAGAAGAAAAGAGAAACTTCAATGTTGAAACCTGAACGGAAACCATGAAGCTGTTTTAAAAGATTGAATCCTTTCAGTTTGAAGTAGTTGAAGTCTGAATAAGTAAAGTTTTAAAAGATTTTACAAGCAAGCAAATATTGCAAATATGTTCTGTAAATAAATAGGAATTTGTTAATAAATATGCATTTGTTTTATAATTATAATGTAATACATTTAATTGCAAATCATGTAATGGTCCCTTAAAAATGCCCTTAAAAATTTCCCTTAAAAACATACATTCATTTTCCTTCGGCTTGCTCCTTTATTTATCAGGGGTCACCACAGTGGAATGAACCATCAACTCTTCCAGCATATGTTTTACACAGTGGATGCCCTTCCAGCTGCAACCCAGTACTGGGAAACATCCACACACACACACTCCTTCACACACACTTTGGCCAATTTAGTTTATTCAATTCACCTATATGTGTTTGGACTGTGGCAAGGAAGGAACCTGAGAAAACCAGAGGATACCCATGCAAACACGTGGAGAACAGGCAAACTCCACACAAAAATGGCAAGTGGCCCAGATGGGACTCAAACCAGTGACTTTCTTGCTGTGAGGCGACAGTGCTAACCACTGAGCCACCATGTCGCCCTATTTTTGTGTGTGGTTACCGCATACAAAGCCAAAAAAACATGGTTGTTGTATTTTAACAATTGCAACCACAGATTCACCATTTTGGAACACGAACCATGGCTTATCTGTGATATTTTGGTTATACAAATGGTAATCACAACAAACATAGCTCTACACTTTATTACAAATTGGTCATTTTAAAGGGACAGTTCATGCAAAAAAAAGGATATTATTTCAATTTTTCTCCCTCATGTGGTTTTAAACCCTTACGAGTTTCTTTCTTTTGAACACAAAAGAAGATATTTTGAAAAATGCTGGTTGCACCTATTGACCTATGGAAGTAATTGGGTGCCATCTAGCATTCTTCAAAATATCTTCTTTTGGATTTAACAGGGGCGAGGCAGTGGCGCAGTAGGTAGTTGCCTCACAGCAAGAAGATCGCTGGGTCGCTGGTTCAAACCTCAGCTCAGTTGGTGTTTCTGTGTGGAGTTTGCATGTTCTCCCTGCCTTCGAGTGGGTTTCCTCTGGGTGCTCCGGTTTCCCCCACAGTCCAAAGACATGCGGTACAGGTGAATTGGGTAGGCTAAATTGTCCGTAGTGTATAAGTGTGTGTGTGGATGTTTCCCGGAGATGGGTTGCGGCTGGAAGGGCATCCCCTGTGTAAAAACTTGCTGGTTAAGTTGGCGGTTCATTCTGCTGTGGCGACCCCGGATTAATAAAGGGACTAAGCCGACAAGAAAATGAGTGAATGGATTTAACAGAAGAAACTCAATCAGGTTCAGCAAATGAGGACGGATTTTCATAACTAAAATTTAAATAACACAACAACAGAAGATCACAAAAGAATAAAACAACTGGTTTATTTGAACAATTAATAAGTGATCCGTTGTAAAATGATCCTCCAGATGTGAAGAGTTCAGCTGCATCAACACAGACACAAGTTTGTACCAAAACACTTTTATTGACCGTTTGACTGAAAAACCAAATTAAACATATTTCTAACATCCAGGAAAGAACAAGTTAGAGATAAAGTTCAGCCAAAACTGAACATTTTTTCACTATTTACTCTCCCTCAAGTGGTTATAAACCTTGAAGAGTTTATTTTAGTGCTGTCAAACTATTAATTGCATCCAAATTAAAAGTTCATATTTACAAAAATCATGTGTGTACTATACTTTTGTGCATATAAATATACACATGCCTATATGTATAATAAAATATTTGTTTATATTTTTATTTATACAAAAAATTATATATAATACAAATTATAAATAACTATATATGTGAATATATTTTGTATATTTTTGCATTTTATGTGTGTGTGTATATATATATATATATATATATATATATATATATATATATATATATATATATATTCTCACACATATACATATATACACACACACACACACACACACACACACACACACACACACACACACACACACACACACACACACACACACACACACACACACACACACACACACACACACACACACACACACACACACACACACACACACACACACACACACACACACACACACACACACACACACACACACACACACACACACACACACACACACACACACACACACACACACACACACACACACACACACACACACACACACACACACACACACACACACACACACACACACACACACTTCAAAAAATGCTTTTCTTGCTTAGGTTTTAGTCCAAACTTGTTTCTAGTCCAAATTTCTAAATGAAGAAATATTTTTCTAGACAAGCAAAACATATTGTCTTGTTTTGAGAAATAATATGCCAATATTAAGTGAGTTTTTCCTTAAAACAAGTAAAATAATCTGCCAATGAGGTAAGCAAATTAATCTTGTTTTATATACATATATACACACACATATACACACACATACACACACACACACACACAAATAAATTATGTAAACGCAATCTTTTATCTCGGATGAAATTAATTGTGATTAATCTTTTAACAGCACTAGTTAATTTATTCTACTAAACACAAGAGAAGATATTTAGAAGAAAGCTGAAAACCACTGACTGAAAAAATACTAAGCAAGTCAATGGTTACAGCTTTCCAACATTTTTCAAACTATCCTCTTTGGTGCTCAACAGAAACAGAAAGGAACAGAAGTGAAGAGTGAATAAACAATCTTCATTTTGGCTGAACTATCCCTTTAAATTGTACGACTGCATGAAAATAGCAGCTCGGAATCCAGGAGCGAAGCAACAACATGCAAGCGTTGAATCAAATACAGAAACCGGAGTCCTAAAACACTCCCACAATAATATAGCTTCTATCATTTTTAAAAATATCTTCCTTGGTGTTCAACAGAAACAGAAAGGGAGAATAAATGATGACCGAATTTACATTTCTGGCTGAATTATCCTTTTAAACATCGTGCAAACCGCATGAAAATTGTCACGAAAAAACAACAAGCAAGCACTGAATCAGATACAGAAGCAGGAGTCCTGAAACACTCCCACGATACAATAAACACCTCCATCTCTCAAGCCATGGCGTCATCAGGATCGATGTGTGCCGCCCTGCTGGAGAAGACGTCCGCCAGCATGTGTTTGGGGATCTCAGATCCGCGGACGCGCAGGGTGTAGCAGGCGTCCTCCACCTTCCCCAGGCTCTGGCGGAGCGTGTGCAGCTTCTTGGACACTTCATAGGGCCCCGTGTTGCCAATTAAAGAGAAGCCGTCGTGGATTTGGCGCAGGAATCCGCTGAGCTGGAATGGTGTGTCCATGTCTCCGTTCCCCACGCTGCTGATGCACATGCGCATCAGTTCACCCGTCAGATCTGCTACACCCAGCAGGTAATCTGTCGGGGTGATCTGGAAGGTCAGGACACATGGACTGGAAAACGTCCCCTCACCTACAGCCTACAGCACAGAGACCAGGAGACAAACACGCATTAACTCTTGTGTGCTGTTGGGGATGTTTTCATCCTCTCTGGGAGGATTTTGAGTCTTAATTTAGCCACAACTTCCTCCGTGTTTCAGCAAGTGGAATCATTTTTGCTGACAAATCTTATTTTGATGCATATTTTTGGGAAAATGCTTTAAAAGTTTTTTGAAACTGAATTATACACTCGTGGCAAACTTACTACGCTTTCGTTGTTGCGGGCTGTTTTTGCAATCAAAAAATGTGATTATAATGGAGGTCAAAAACATAACCAAAGGGTAGTCAATTTGAACAATACACAAGGAGTTAAGTCTAGTTCCCACTACATGACTTTAAACATGGCAGATCACTGTACCGTTCAGATTACATGACTTGATTTTGTGTCTTTAAGGGTGCTTCCACACTTGCCTTATTTAGTTCGATTGAATTGCACTAGAGTTCGTTTTCCCTTTTGGTGCGGTTCGTTTGGGCAGGTGAGAATGCAGCAATCGTACTCGAGTGCTCACCAAAAGCGGACTAAATAAGCGTACCGAGACCTGCTTGAAGAGCTGGTCTCGGTACGCTTTCAAACGAACCCTGAAGCGGTTCATTTGTGGTGAAAATATGATCCGTACTAAAACAGGTCCAACCGCAAAAAGTACTGTGCCTTTTGGACTAATCCAGCTGCCGTAGGCCGATGCACTGTGCATTATGGAAAAATATTTGTTGACAGCGCTTTACCAACAGAGAGAGAGAGAGAGGGGGGAAAACATTACCTGATGGATCATTGGTAATATTTCCGCAAGATGAGCATGTCGCAGTTTAGCTAAATTAATGTATAGTATATGTATAACAAATGTATAGTTTGTCTAAAGCAGGCATACAATCAACCAGCGCAGTCGTCCCTCTAGAGTAAAAATGACATTTTGTGTCTGCCGGTTTTGTTTACCTGCGGGAGTTCATTGGCATTTTCCCGCACGTGAATTCTGACCAATCAATAAGCAGTTTAGGAAATATGTTCAACAACATCTGGCCAATGAGAGATGTGGATTTTGTCAGATGACTGCATTTTGGTTCGTTTCAACTGGTTCGGACCAAAGCCAGCAGTGTGGTGTGAAAACGACCCAAAGACGGCAGAAAATGCAAATATGTATCATTTACTACCCTTGGTCCAGACCAAATGAAGCGAACTACAGATGTGAAAGCACCCTAAATCGCTGCGCAGTTCACATTACCTAAATGATCCACAAGAGGGCATCTCACACACACAAAACACACACAAACTACATGATCTGACAACAACACTTTCACCCAACAGCTCTGTCCTGCCCCCCAAACCACAGCCAATAACATGTTGAGGGCGGAGCTATCAGAAAGAGCCGAACACTTATTGGCTGATGTGTGATGATGACATCACTTTAACACAGCATTTGAAATCTCTCTAAAAGCATTAAAGGAGGCCCTTGAAATCATCGCCTATCACCTGATCTATCAGCGGATCAGTAGCTCATATACGGCGGGGGAAATATGTTCTGAACAATTTTTCCCTGTGAATGATATTTCTAAAGGAGCGGTTGATATGGAATTGGTAAAAACGCAAACAATACAAACATCAAAATAAAACAAAACACAAAAATCTGAAAATGGGTTCTGTGTAATAACAATGGAATGACAGGAGAAAGAGCTGAACTACAGAAATGTGTTAAACACTTTATATAAAAGGCTTTTAATTGACGCAATCTTAAAGACGCCTCTCATGTGGAGAATGAAGTTACATGCATTGCTCAGGTAAGAGATTCTCACAGACTTCAACAAAATGTCAAAATCTTAATGCTTCTGTGGGTCTCGTCTATCAAATCTAAGCTTTATTTTGTATTTTCTATTGGATTCAAGTCAGGTGATTGGCTGGGCCATTCTACAGCTTGATTTTCTTTCTCTGAAAGCATCTGAGAGTCTCCTTGGCTGTGTTTTGGATCACTGTCTTGCTGAAATGTCCACCCTGGCTTCATCTTCATCCTCCTGCTCATGCAGATGTTGGACTGAAGCAGCTGATGTTCATTTACACTGAGGAAGGGCAGAGGCTTGCTGAAGAACTACTTAGAGATTTCAGCTGCTGTCTGGGCTTTCACTGGCAAACTACACCTTCCTTTCTTCATGTGTTCAATACTTTTTCTTTGCGTCATTTAATTTTATTTTGCAAAACTTCATTTGTAAACTATTTAGTTTTGTTTTCTTTGCATATATTACTAACTTTTTTTTGCATTGAGAGGTGCCCTTTTTAATGGTTTGAGCATTTTAACAAATAAACCTGCAGATAATTTGTGCACAAAAACTGTGCTGTCAGTCACATCATTTTTTTTTTTTATTGTTCAATTAAACGAAAACAGAGACGGGGTTTCCGCTGAGGTCACAGCAGTGTTTGTGTTGTCATGAGACTTTTAAAGATGGAGGAGAGACAAGTGCTCGCTGTTTTGAGTTATCCGGAGCTGTATGACCTCACAAATAGTGAATATTACAATATTATACATTTTTACCTTTGAAAATGTAAAACACATGAGTCTATTTTTTTACTTTACACTTAAGTGGTGTTATGATTACAAGAATGCATAAAATTAATAGATTAATACACTAACCGACAAAAGTAGTGGCCTATCCAAGTTTTAGGAACAGCAAATAATCACTTGACTTCTAGTTGATCATTTGGTGTCAGAAGTGGCTCATATGAAAGGTAAAAGTCTCTAGATTTTGCTTATTTGAGCACAATAAAATATGATCATGCCTTGATTTTGACTGATTTCATTAGGACAGTAAGGTCTGACTTTGCTTAGACTAAAGTGTCATCACTGAACAGAAATAATGTCCAGTGTAGAATATAAAGTCCTGCTGCAGTGGAGACAGAATGAATATTGTGTCTGACTCCATCATGAGCTTGGAGGACTGCATCCATACATCTCTGACATGACTCAAATCACTGATTAATAAAGTCATCTGGAATGGCAAAGAAAGCGTTTCTGCAGGACTCCCAGAGTTCATCAAGACTCTTTGAGTTCATTTTTAACGCCTCCTCCTTCATCTTACACCAGACATGCTCAATAATGTTCATGTCTGGTGACTGGGCTGGCCAATCCTGGAGCAGCTTGACCTTCTTTGCTTTCAGGAGCTTTGATGTGGAGGCTGAAGTATGAGAAGGAGCGCTATCCTGCTGGAGAATTGTCCCTCTGCTGTGGTTTGTACTGTAATGGGCAGCACAAATGTCTTGATACCTCAGGCTGTTGATGTTGATCATCCACTCTGCAGATCTCTCACACGCCCCCATACTGAATGTAACCCAAACCATGATTTCTCCTTCACCAAACTTGACTGATTTCTGTGAGAACCTTGGCTCCATGTGGGTTCCAGTAGATCTTCTGCAAAATCTGCAACTTTTTCCAATTGATCAACTAGAAGTCAAGTTATTATTTGTTGCTCTTACAACTGGGATTGACGACAAGACTGTTGTCAGGTAGTGCAGAAAAAGCATGCATATCTACTGTTAAAAACAGCATTGATGACTAACTAAAAAATGATCAATACAAGAATAGAAATTTAACGCATAAAATATTATATATATATATATATATATATATATATATATATATATATATATATATATATATATATATATATATATATTTAATATCAAACACTGCTACAGATAACACGATAACAGTTTATTCATAAGCAAAACAGAAATGTGCACAGAAAACAATAGCAACAGGTTTTCCCTCGAACTAGACCAAAGCATCTAAAAATATCTTATTTACAGAGACGTGCGCAGAAGGCAGACATCCCGCAGTCTAAAAATAGCAGAAGATGGAGCGATTGTCAGCATCTGATAACTGAGGTGAAAGTGCTCTGCAGGACGTAGCCCGTCCGTTTCAGCAGAGAACAACATGTTCATGTTGAAACAGAAGAATAAATGTTGATTTTAGATATAATATCATACCTTATTATTGTCTCTGATGAAGACCAGACGAGCGTTGATCTCCTCCAGGCTGATGAGGGAGCGATGTCTGATGAAGTGATGGAAGGAAACAGCCTCCACATACTCCTGAATGCCTGAAAACACAACTAAGGGTCATTCATATTATCACTATAATATACAGAATAAGTCAGAATAAGTCAAGAGTTATTGTGAAATTTTCCTTTAAATGTTTCCCAAAGGATGTTTAATGGATAATTTTCACAGTATTACACAATTTCTGGTGTCCTTGTTGAATAAAAGTAGTAATTCTTCTTTTCCACATAATTCAACAACGATAAACTGAAAGGTTGTAAAACTATAAAGATTATCTACATTTATCTAAGATTGACTACATCATCAGCAAACAGTGCATTTAAAAACCTTATTAATTATTAAATGAATTCTCACTTTCCTGAAATTTCACAAATATATGGCCAGCACTTGTATCAACACAATGATACAAACAAATACATACAAAAAACCATAAACAATACCAAACAAATCTACATAAAATTAAATAAAATAAGAATAATTTTATTCATTAAAATAATAATAATAATAATAAAAAAATTTAATGAAATAAAAAATAATTAAATAAAATTTCAAATAAAATTTTTTAAAAATATTCAATTTAAAACAAAATTAAATAAACAAAAAATTAAATTAAACATTTAAGAATAAATAAAAATAATAAAATATATATTAATAAATAAAATAAAAAATAAATAAAATAAATAAAAAAATTAATTGAATATAAAATACAATTTAAAATTAGGATAAAATAAAAAAAATAAAAAACAAGAAAAAATAAAAATAAATAAAATAAATGAAAAATAAGTAAGAAAATATAAAATAAAATTAAATAAAACAATAAAATAAATCAATTAAATAAAATAATATACTATAAAAATAATAAAAAACTAAATAAATATAAAAATAAAATAAAAAATAACCTAAAAAACTACATATAATAACAATTTTTGTTACATTAAAAAAATAATAATTAAATAAAAAATTAAATAAAATAACTAACATAAAATAACTAACATAAAATAACTAACTAACTAACTAACTAACTAACTAACTAACTAACTCACTAACTAACATAATTACATTAAATAACAACAACAGCAATATAATATCAACTAAATGTATTACAAAACCGTGTTGCTTAAGGCACAAAGTAAATCTGCAACAATAAGTAGAACATTAAATTGGCCTTAAACAAATCCACTCACAATATTAATTCAAGAGGTATGTAATAATGTCTCCTATTACTGTGCATCCTCAACGCTTGCTGTTCATAAGATACAAGACTTCACCAGAAAATACCCACAATTTTAACACATACTAACCATGCCATGCCACACAGACCATGTCTGCTCTTTTTGAACAATAAGGAAAAACTATTAATGAGGAATAGATATTACACTAAGCTTCTTATATACTTTCCAAAATATATGCTTAATGCACTCAAACCATTTGTGCTTCTTTTCAAAATAAGACACAGTTTGGTGTGATTTGGCGTGATTAGGTCTTGTATAAACATCAATAATGACAGGATGGAAAACTCTGTGATTAAGCTTTACTTTCGGACTGCTAATTAACATCAAAGACTCTTATCTGTCGCTCTGCTCACACTGTGATCATATTAAACACACATAAATGTCGCTTTCCATGTCGAACCGCATGAACTCTGTGTGAATCAGTGAATGTGAAAGAGTTCCCACAATAGCAGCTTTTCTCAGGCCGACAGGAAAACCGATAACCCTTATCAGGCTTCAGACGGAGACTCCCACTGCTGGACATTTCTTTGGAGGTTAATTTGACAGAAAGGTCACCTTACTGGATGTAAACATGTAATGTAAATTAAATGAGGAAACTGATAGTGTCATCTGAAAGACGGCACCCACTGACAGTGTAGTGTCCCCTTCACTTTTTACTGGGACATTAGGACTCACACAGACCGCAGGTTGAGCGCCCCCTGTTGGCATCACAAACACCACTTCTGTCAGCAACCTAGCTTTCGCATGTGGTCTTCCATCCAGGTACTGACCAGCCTCAAGCCTGCTTAGCTTTAGTGAGTAACAGAGAGCAAAGCAAAGACGGTTGACATTCTGCCACAAGATGGCGGCAGAGACCCCATAATAAGTCCTTAGGGGAGAAAAACTGTAAATTTCTAACTAGTTGATCAAATCATTTCTAAACAGGTAAGTGACATTCTAAGTCGATCTGTTATTGTTTATATGTTGTAGTGCTGTGCTTTTACCATAGTAATCTGCTAGTGTTTGCTTTGCTTCGGCTTTGTTGGGGATAATTATTGTGATCTCTTGATTACAACAGAGAAATACTGGCAAATCTCTGTAGACTGATGGCATTTCATGCCGTTTAGCCTTATAATCTTAAAATGTGAGTAAAATCAGCTGTTTTGTCATCACTTTAGACATCACGCTAGAGAATCATTCAAACACCAGCTCTAAAGTGACGTTGGTGAATGAGCAGCGGTTTCTGCTGTTCTGACGTCAGCTGCAGATGTGAATGAATGGCGGAAGAAAGTAGTTTCTCTTACAAAAGGATTTTGTTTGATTTTCTTTTCATATACACTATTATGCTGTCAAACTGTTGTATAAACACAATATCACACTCGTATCAGTGTGATATAACTGTATATCGTCACGGATGACTCACTAAGGCACTCAGCTTGCGGCCTCAATTTAATGCACGCCTCCCACCAGCGCCGATATACAGCCTTTAAAGCAGGGGTCTCAAACTCGCGGCCCGCGGGCCATTTGCGGCCCTCAGTGCAATATTTTGTGGCCCGCGCCGACCGCTGTACACTGACAGATTCAGCGGAGCGGTGAGAGAGAGCGCTCCCCGCTCCGCTGATTCTATCCGTACACAGCGCGCTTGTCACTCAATGCGCGTTGTCGCACGCGTTCTGATCAGCTGTGTTGTCGCGCGCGTACTCAAGAGCGGTGTTATCGCGCGCGTACTCAAGAGCGGTGTTATCGCGCGCCTACTGAAGGGCGGGACCGAGGGTGTGTCGCGTCGCGGGGGCACTTTCTATGCAAGACTAAAAAGGGCATGTGGTCTGCACAGGTTGAGCCCTATGTGTGCACGTGCCTGCCCTGCATCTTATATATATTATAGGTAGATACAGACTGGTACAGACTGATGTGACTGGAGTGGGGTGGGGGTGTTTTATTTATATATACGCCTTTTTTTTTTTAGGTGAGGGAATGGAAGTTTTGAGTGAGTTCCCCCACTTTTTTCCCTAGGACTTCAATAAGTCAAAGTACAGGTCTAGACTTAATGATGATCATCTTCAAGCCATACTGAGGGTCTCAACTGCTTCCGCTCTAAAGCCAAATGTGGTTCAGATTTGTAAGAAGAAGCGCTGTCAAGTCTCTGGCAGCAAGAAGTAGGCAAAAGATGCCATGTTCAGAAGAGCTGTTCATAATCTTCACTCAATGTTCTATTAATGTTCAGGACACTTCATGTTCAGAAGAAATAATTAAAACTGTTAATAATGACATTTGAGGACTTTTTTTTTGTGAAATCCCTTATGCGGCCCAGCCTCACCCAGACTTTACCTCCTGCGGCCCCCAGGTAAATTGAGTTTGAGACCCCTGCTTTAAAGCCTACAAAAATATTATGGTGTCACTATAGAGACACCATAATATTTTTGTATTTACAGTCTAATATTTAGTGTATTTTTATTTATTTTTTGTCTATCTATAAAGAGACACCATAATATTTTTGTATTTAGTCTAATATTTAGTGTATTTTTATTTATTTTTTGTCTATCTATAAAGAGACACCATAATATTTTTGTATTTAGTCTAATATTTAGTGTATTTTTATTTATTTTTTGTCTATCTATAAAGAGACACCATAATATTTTTGTATTTAGTCTAATATTTAGTGTATTTTTATTTATTTTTTGTCTATCTATAAAGAGACACCATAATATTTTTGTATTTAGTCTAATATTTAGTGTATTTTTATTTATTTTTTGTCTATCTATAAAGAGACACCATAATATTTTTGTATTTAGTCTAATATTTAGTGTATTTTTATTTATTTTTTGTCTATCTATAAAGAGACACCATAATATTTTTGTATTTAGTCTAATATTTAGTGTATTTTTATTTATTTTTTGTCTATCTATAAAGAGACACCATAATATTTTTGTATTTAGTCTAATATTTAGTGTATTTTTATTTATTTTTTGTCTATCTATAAAGAGACACCATAATATTTTTGTATTTACAGTCTAATATTTAGTGTATTTTTATTTATTTTTTGTCTATCTATAAAGAGACACCATAATATTTTTGTATTTAGTCTAATATTTAGAGTATTTTTATTTATTTTTTGTCTATCTATAAAGAGACACCATAATATTTTTGTATTTACAGTCTAATATTTACAGTATTTTTATTTATTTTTTGTCTATCTATAAAGAGACACCATAATATTTTTGTATTTACAGTCTAATATTTAGTGTATTTTTATTTATTTTTTGTCTATCTATAAAGAGACACCATAATATTTTTGTATTTACAGTCTAATATATATATATAATACATTAATAAATGTTCAAAATAGTAAAACAGTCATATGCAAATTAACCGTTTTTATTTATCTTTATTTATCTACTGTTTATGCACTACACTGTTCATCTCCTACTGCTTGATGTTTGGTTTGTTTGATGCAATTGGTGCCAAATTTAGCCCTTAATGGCCTTTAATGTGAAAACAAACCCATTAGATGCACCGAGAGGCTTTATCAACCCAATAAAGCTCTGGCAATAAAGGAAAAATAGAAAGGATCTGACCTCGGTCACGTCTCGAGAAAGACCCCGATGACTATAATCTGAAAATGATAAGATAAATTTGCTCGGTCCACCCTGCCTTATCCACACTTCCCTCAGAAGTCTGCAGACTCTGTGTCTCTTTCATGAAAGACGTGAATAATAATGGCTGGAAAAGCAAAGTGACGCTTCTTGGAAACATTCTTGGAGACATGAGTGATGATGAAGGCCTGTCACGACAAATCATTTCAGAGTTGTTGTTTTTAACATTTTGTCAGAAATTTATTAAACAATAATTAATTCTACAACAGCAGCAAACACACTCATAACAATGACTTTGCTGCTTGTTCAAATGACTTATTTAAAAGGAGCTGAAACATCACAATTCTTGAGATTTTTTGGGACAACTTAATTGTTTTATGTTCAACCTACCTACTGTACACTTACTGGCCACTTTATTAGGTACACTTTACTAGTGCCGAGTCGGATCTCCTTTTGCCTTCAGAACTGTCTTAATCCTTCCTGAAAGATTCAACAAGGTACTGGAAACATGCCTCAGAGATTTTGCTCCATATTGACATGATAGCATCACACAGTTGCTGCAGATTTGTCGGCTGCACATCCATGATGAATTTCCCGTTCCACCACATCCCAAAGGTGCTCCATTGGATTGAGCTCTGGTGACTGTGGAGGCCATTGGAGTACAGTGAACTCATTGTCATGTTCAAAAAACCAATCTGAGATGATTCACGCTTTGACATGAAGGGTTATCCTGCTGAAAAGTAGTCATCAGAAAGATGGACACACTGTGCTCATAAAGGGATGGACATGGTCAGCAACAATACTCAGGTAGGCTGTGGTGTTGACACAATGTTCAATTGGTACTAATGACCCCAAAGTGTGCCAAGAAAATCTCCCCCACACCATTACACCACCACCACCACCAACCTGAACCGTTGATACAAGGCAGGATGGCTCCATGCTTTTATGTTGTTGATGCCAAATTCTGACCCGACCATCCGAATGTGTCAGCAGAAATGGAGACTCATCAGAGCAGCAACGTTTCTCCAATCTTCTACTGTCCAGTTTTGGTGAGCCTGTGTGAATTGTAGCCTCAGTTTCCTGTTCTCAGCTGACAGGAGCGGCACCCGGTGTGGTCTTCTGCTGCTGTAGCCCATCCGCCTCAAGGTTGGACGTGTTGTGTGTTCAGAGATGCTCTTCTGCAGAGCTTGGTTGTATCGAGTGCTTATTTGAGTTACTGTTGCCTTTCTATCAGCTGGAACCAGTCTGGCCATTCTCCTCTGACCTCTGGCATCAACAAGGCATTTGGACCCACAGAACTGCCGCTCACTGGATAATTCCTTTTTCAGACCATTCTCTGTAAACCCTAGAGATGGTTGTGCGTGAAAATCCCAGTAGATCAGCAGTTTCTGAAATACTTAGACCAGCCCGTCTGGCACCAACAACCATGCCACGTTCAAAGTCACTTCAATCCCCTTTCTTCTCCTTTCTGATGCTCAGTTTGAACTGCAGCAGATCGTCTTGACCTTGCCTACATGCATAGATGCATTGAGTTGCTTCCCAGTGATTGACTGACTAGAAATTAGCATCAGCGAGCAGTTGGACAGGTGTACCTAATAAAGTGGCCAGTGAATGTTTTACCTACATCATATCTTAGAGTGTAAACATAACTGTCTCCTGACCACTGTAAGCGCGTGTCCATACCTGGAGTAAACGCTCTGTGAAACTGATGTAAATCTTCTCCTCTCAGCTCCTCTGCGATCTGTCCGATCTTCTGCCTCACACCATCCAGCTTCACCTCGGCCTCATTCAGGATCTCCTCCACATCTGGAACACTAAACAGATGCACATAAATAACCATTTAGAGAGTCCTGCCATGCCCCTTATTTACAATCTGTAATATTGTGTCTCTTTAAATGACAAATGAGTTTTTGTAATCAAAATAAATTCCTTTTTTCCACACTTTCCATTTGAATTTAAGTTTTACTGCAAATGTCACATTGATAATGCTGGATTTGCTCATATTCAACTAAATTAAACAACAATCATCATTAAACTGAACTCTATCCAATAACTAATATAGAATAAATGCCAATGTTATCATTTTATTTCAATGGCTGTGTATTTTACATTTACATTTAGTCATTTAGCAGACGCTTTTATCCAAAGCGACTTACACATGAGGACAAGGAAGCAATTTACACAACTATGAGAGCAGCAATGAATAAGTGCTGTAGGCAAGTTTCAGGTCTGTAAAGTCTAAGAAGGGAAGTATTAGTAGTATTAGTATTTATTTTTTATTTTTTTTGGGTACAGTTAGTGTGATATTCAGAGAGGCAATTGCAGATTAGGAAGTGAAGTGGAGACTAAATAGTTGAGTTTCTTGAAAATAGCGAGTGATTCTGCTGTTCTGATGCAGTTAGGGAGTTCATTCCACCAACTGGGCAGAGCGAAAGTGATTTCTTCCCTCTTTGGGATGGAAGCACGAGGCGACGTTCATTCACAGAACGCAAGTTTCTGGAGGGCACATAGATCTGCAGAAGTGAGAGCAGATACGAAGGAGCAAGGCCAGAAGTCGCTTTGTAGGCAAACATCAGAGCTTTGAATTTGATGCGAGCAGCAACTGGCAGCCAGTGCAAACGGATGAGCAGCGGAGTGACGTGCTCTTTTAGGTTCATTAAAGACCACTCGTGCTGCTGCGTTCTGGAGCAGATGAAGAGGTTTGATAGAGTTAGCTGGAAGCCCGGCTAGTAGAGAGTTGCAATAGTCCAGTCTGGAGAGAACAAGAGCTTGAACAAGGAGTTGAGCTGCATGTTCAGATAAGAAGGGTCGGATCTTTCTGATGTTATAGAGTGCGAATTTAGAGTGTGAATTTAGAATGTGTATTTATTTAATTATTTACTTTATTTAGCCAGGAGATCACATTGAGACAGTACTGTCTCTTCTTCCAGTGAGACCTGGTCAAGATGGCAGGCAGCACATAAAGTTTCATATAAAAAACACAAAAAAACAATTCCACAAAATTACAAAATCACCGTTCATAAAAACATCAGATCATAAAAAAACAATTACAGGTGTCCTTTAAGATGTTGTATAAAAGATGTTTAAAAGTACTCGGAGTCGGAAGAGTGTTAAGATTGAGCTGATTTTGCAGGTCATTCCAAGCCCTAGGAGCGTAAACGGAAAAAGCACGTTTGCCAAGTTCTGACAGTACCCTTGGAACTATCAGACGAATACATGAACCAGATCTAGTGTGTTGGTCGTTGGTGTGAAATGTTAATAAATTAGAAACATAGGATGGTAATTTACCTAAAAGAGCCTTTAAAATAAATAAGTACAGATGTAATTATCTCCTTTGATATAACGTCCGTGAATTTGCACCTGTGACGAAGCGTATTGCTGCATGATAAACAGAATCTAGTTTTCTTAGTAGTATTCTTATCTCTATTCATCCATGCAACTACACGACATCCAGTTACTATTCTATATACTAAATCAATTCATTTATGTTTCAATCGATCATTTAGAGTGACAACATATTTTGGACACACTTTCCATACTACATTTTAAATACAGCATGTGCAGTAATATCTCTCACCTGGCCACTCTGTGCAGAAGAAATATGGTCCGCTTGCTCTCAATAGTGACATCTCTGCTGATTTTCACCAAACGCTCATATTTATCATATCTGGTGTCAAGCTCCTGCTGGAAAACTGTCAAAGAGTGTCATTTATAGCAGTTAGTAATGTACAGGGGTAAATACTACAGTCTGAATCTGAACCATACTACAGTGAAGCACTTTAATTAACCTGTTGTTGTGATTATGTAGTTGCTATTGTCACTCAATGAACAAATGACCCCATACTGTAGTTTCTACAACCATAGATTATATTTGTATTTGTATTTGGGAGACAACTTAAGTGTTTTAAGTCCAATCCACTTAGATTTGTGAAAAACCAATAAGTTACTTAATTCCTTCATGTCGTCCTCACACAAATCGGTTACGTGGAACCCTGAATTTTTTACAGTGCAGTTTACTACAGTAAAAATGAAAGTATGCCACAGTACTTATCACAGTTTCAATGTAGTTAATACTAGAGTAAACTGTAGCATTTAATAACAAAGCGTTGTGGTTACTATGAAATATAAACTTACCGGCCACTTTATTAGGTACACCTGTCCAACTGCTCTTTAACGCGCATTTCTAATCAGCCAATCACACGGTGGCAACTCAATGCATTTAGGCATGTAGACATGGTCAAGACGATCTGCTGCAGTTCAAACTGAGCATCAGAATGGGGAAGAAAGGGGATTTAAGTGACTTTGAACGTGGCATGGTTGTTGGTGCGAGACGGGCTGCTCAGAGTATTTCAGAAACTGCTGATCTACTGGGATTTTCACGCACAACCATCTCTAGGGTTTACAGAGAATGATCAGAAAAAGAGGAAATATCCAGTGAGCGGCAGTTCTGTGGGTGCAAATGCCTTATTGATGCCAGAGGTCAGAGGAGAATGGCCAGACTGGTTCCAGCTGATAGAAAGGCAACATTAACTCAAATAAGCACTCGTTACAACCGAGGTCTGCAGAAGAGCATCTCTGAACACACAACACGTCCAACCTTGAGGCGGATGGGCTACAGCAGCAGAAGACCACACCGGGTGCCACTCCTGTCAGCTAAGAACAGGAAACTGAGGCTACAATTCACACAGACTCACCAAAACTGGACAATAGAAGATTGGAGAAACGTTGCCTGCTCTGATGAGTCTCCATTTCTGCTGCCACATTCGGATGTTTGGGTCAGAATTTAGCCTCAACACCTTGAAAGCATGGAGCCATCCTGCCTATCAATGGTTCAGGCTGCTGCTGGTGGTGTAATAGTGTGGGCGAGATTTTCTTAGCACACTTTGGGCCCATTAGTACCAATTGAGCATCGTGTCAACGCCACAGTCTACCTGAGTATTGTTGCTGACCATGTCCATCCATTTATGACCAGTTTACCCATCTTCTGATGGCTACTTCCAGCAGGATAACGCACCATGTCATAAAGCATGAATCATCTCAGACTGGTTTCTTGAACATGACAATGAGTTCACTGTACTCAAATGGCCTCCACAGTCACCAGATATCAATCCAATAGAGTGCCTTTGGGATGTGGTGAACGGGAGATTCACATCATGGATGTGCATCCGACAAATCAGCAGCAACTGCGTGATGCGATCATGTCAATATGGAGCAAAATCTCTGAGGAATATTTGCAGTGGCTTGTTGAAACTATGCCACAAAGGATTAAGATAGTTCTGAAGCCAAAAGGGGGTCCAATCCGTTACTATCAAGGTGTACCTAATAAAGTGACCGGTGATTGTATTCACACACTTTACCATAGTATAATTCAAAACAGTACTAATTAGGTTCCAATAAGCCCAAATAGCAAAGAAAAATAAAAAATGCATGTAAAAAATATCTTAGGCCTTAATAGGTATATATAAAGCACTATAGTGTTTTATGTGAGATCTCATCAGTGTCTCTCACCTTTGAATGCAGAAATGACGACTGAATTCGGGTTCATACAATCCTCTGATCTCTGACCTGGTTCTGTCCTCCGTTTTCGGGCACATCCTTCGTCTGAACAGAGATGTATTTAGATATGAATATATTTAAGCACATTTACAGAGTATTGTTTACACAACAGCATCACAATAATTGAGCAAACGATGCTAGTAATGTAGGTATTCAACACTATCATTTTAACCGCAAGCGTAATGTAAAAATGCTGTGTTTACCTTCTCGTTTACTCATCTCTGTGATAAAGTATTTTTTACTGTGGAGGTTTGTTTATGAACGAAATTAAAACTGCTTGTAGTTTAGCAGCTGCTTGTGATTTTAGTGCGTGTTAATCCAGCTGGATGCCTCTGTCGTGGGACTTCGTTTTACGTATTTACGTTGAATTACTTTCTCAAAAATTAAACCTACACCAGAGGTGTTTATATTTGTCTCCTCGACGTCGTGTGTTTACTGTTAAAGATGTAATTTTCGTATAATTTGAACGCTGGCGAGTAAACGGACTTCTATTATTTACACGGGACCTGCGCGTCTTAAACGCGTCGGCCGCTAGTCATTATGGGTAATGTAGTTTGGTTGGGTCAGTTGGCATTTCTGTGTTGAGCGTGCATGTTCGTGTTGGCTTGGGTTTCCTCCAGGTGCTCCGGTTTTTTTCCCACAGTCCAAACACATGCGCTATAGGTGACTTGGGTAAACTAAATTGGCCGTAGTGTATGAGTGTGTGTGAATGAGTGTGTGTGTGTTTCCCTGTACTGAGATGCGGCTGGAAGGGCATCCGTTGTAAAAAAACATTCTGGAATAGTTGGCGGTTCGTTCCGCTGTGACAACCCCTGATGAATAAAGTAACTAAGTTGAAGGAAAATGAATGAATGAATGAATGGTTTAGTTCAGTCAATATGGTGACGTTAAACACATTTGGGTTTGAAGATTTCATTTAAATTATTTAGACAATTATTAGTTTTGTAACGTATTTTATAAATAGCTTACTACAATTGTCTAAAGTAATTTCTTCGAAACGTCTAGTCTTCATTACAAAACAAATCTGTTCTAAGAATCAAATATTATTGAAATAAGGGAAATACTATATGCTGAATACATGCATTCATAATGTGCACACATAAATAACACTATATACAATTGAAGTCAGAATAATTAGCCCCCCTGATAATTTTTTCCCCCAATTCCTGTTTAACGGAGAGAAAAAATTTCAGCACATTTCTAAACAGTGTTGATAACTTATTTCTAATAACTGATTTATTTTATCTTTGCCATGATGACAGTAAATAATATTTGTTTTTTTAGACACTTCTATTACGCTTGAAGTGACATTTAAGGGCTTACCTAGGTTAATTAGGTTAGCTAGGCAGGTTAGGGTAATTAGGCAAGTTATTGTATAACGATGGTTTGTTTTGTAGATTACTGAGAAAAAAATATAGCTTAAAGGGGCTAATAACTTTGACCTTAAAATGGTGTTAAAAAAAAATAAAAACTGCTTTTATTCTAGCCAAAATAAAACAAACAAGACTTTCTCCAGAAGAAAAAACATTGTCAGACATACTGTGAAAATTTCCCTGCTCTGTTAAGCATCATTTAGGAAATATTTAGAAAAGAAGACAAAATTCAAAGGGGGGCTAATAATTCTGACTTCAACTGTATATTTATATATATTTTCTTAATCCATAAAAATGATAAGGAAAAAATGTCATATAATGTGAATCCAGTCCTCATAAGTAAAATAAATGCCTAAGGATTATACATGGTTTTTAAACAAACAAATAAATAAATAATACACATATTTATATGTAAATAAATAAATAGATAATAATAATAATAATAATAATAATAATAATAATAATAATAATAATAATGATGATGATGATGGTAATAATAATAATAATAATAATAATAATAATAATAAAATAATAATAAAATAATGATGATGATGATGATGGTAATAATAATAATAATAATAATAATAATAATAATAAAAAATAATAATAAAAAATAAAAATAATAATGATGGTAATAATAATAATAATAATAATAATAATAATAACAATAATAATAAATTGCACAAAAAATGCACAAAAAGTTATTGTATGTATTGTTGAACCAATAATGAGTTAAAAACAAAACAAGTGTCAAACATGATTGACCTTACTAAAAAAGTAATGATTATTTATTGCTTAATACCTACATAACATTTTAAATAATGAATAAATGTGTGAATAAATAAATAAATGAGTCAATTAATTCATTTATTCACACATTTCTTTATTTTTTATTTTGTTATGTAGGTATTCAGATTATATTAAGCAACAGATAACTATTATTTGTTCAGTCAGTCCAATTATATTTGACTCTTGTCAAATAGAATCAACGAGGATCTCACTAAATCAACAAACAATAAAGAGTAATTAATTAATAATTAATGAGTGAATATGACAAGATGTTGATTGTGGATCCATTTTGAATATGGTTCAATCATGACACAGTTCACGATATGATTCAATTATTGCATGTTAGCCTAAATGTGTTTTTCTCTCACCCTCGCTTATACACACATACACAGGCATGCACACAAACACGCACAGGTCTGCATACACAAGCATGCACACACACAAGCATGCACACACACATGCACACACATATACACACAAAAACACACACAAACACACACAGACAAGCACACACACACAGGCACACAAAAACACTCAGACACACAGGCATGCACGCACACACACACACACACGCACATAGCACACAAAAACACTCACACAAAGGCACGCACACACACAAACACAGAGCAGAACACATACATACACTCACGCACACACACAGACACACAAAAACACTCAAACACACACACAAACACACAGCAGAACACACAGACATACACACACGCGCACACACACAGGCACACAAAAACACTCAAACACACACACACACAAACAAACAAACACACAGGCATGCACACAAACACGCACAGGTCTGCATACACAAACATGCACACACACACACACTCACACAAGCATGCACACAAAAACACACACCCAAACACACAAACAAAACACACAAAAACACTTACACACACAGACAAGCACACACACACAGGGACACAAAAACACTCAGACACACACACACACACACACACACACACACAGCAGAACACACAAAGATGCACACACGCACACAAAAAAACACTCAGACACACAGGCATGCACACACACACACACACACACACACAAAAGCAGAACACACAAAGATGCACACATGCACACAAAAAAACACTCAGACACACAGGCATGCACACACACACACACACACACACACACACACACACAGCAGAACACACAAAGATGCACACATGCACACAAAAAAACACTCAGACACACAGGCATGCACACACACACACACACACACACAGCAGAACACACAAAGATGCACACATGCACACAAAAAAACACTCAGACACACAGGCATGCACACATACACACACACACACACGCACACAGCAGAACACACAGGCATGCACACACACAAACACACAGCAGAACACACAGACATGCACTCACACACATACACAAACACACAGGCATGCGCAAAAAAAACTTACACAAACACACACACACAAACACACACGCGCGCACGCGCGCACACACACGCGCACACACACACACACACACACACACACACACACACACAAACATTCACACACACACACACACACACATACACACAGGCATGCACGTACACACAGGCACACCGCACACAAAAACACTCACACATAAGCTTGCACAAAGACACACAAACCAAACACACAGACATGCACAAAGACACTCACACAGGCCTGCACACACACTCTCTCCCTCTCTCTCTGCTTTGATTGCGCAGTACATTACAGTATATCAGATTACAGTTCCTCCTCATGAACTTTGGCCTGGAGGATTGATGCCAACTGTGTACGTGCCGCCCCGTGCCTCCTCACTGTCTGCATGAGTGCCAGCGTGCTCCTACAGGGGGCAGTGGGCTACAATACACATCATAAGCAACTTGTCAAATGAAGTGATTTTGTGTGTGTGTGTGTGTGTGTGTGTGTGTGTGTGTGTGTGTGTGTGTGTGTGTGTGTGTGTGTGTGTGTGTGCAGTTTTTCAGTCATTTTGATGCCACAGACATTAAGATTAAAAAAGCATGCTTATATTTTACTGCATAAACTAAGAGACTGGTTTACATTGTTCAAAATTAATATGACGCATGTGTGATTTATGTTTATTTAGGTTAATCTTTCTTAGCTATTTTGTTGTTGTTGTTGTTTCTTGATGTTTTCCTCAACACTTACAAGGGTTCATGGAAAACCCCTGATTTAGTCCGAGCCCCTTTTCAAGAACTGAAAATATTTAGTAGCTGTTTACAGTTTTTCTTGTTTGCTTTGGCCTGGTTAAAGAAACTAGGTTCCACTTCATTTTCATTATCACTATCCCAGCAGAGCAGAAGACAGGTCTTGCAAATGTGTAAACCCTTTCTCATTGGGTTGACACATTTACCCCACCATTTTTCAGAACAGTTAACACAGATGTCATTCAAACAGTCCAAACTTCATTGTTTTAGCTTTGGTAACCAAACAAAAACCATCTATTCCTAACCATTAGGAACTACCAAGATCAGTATGAATTCAGTGTAACCGGGTCAGATTCAGTTTAGCAAATTTTAGATTTAGTCGTGATCAGATGTTATGAGAGGCTGCCCTAATCTATCATCACTCCATGATCATTTCGCACATCACTTATTGTTTAACCACTTGGTCCCAAGCCAGCATCACTATTCTGAAGCCACTTGAATCTTTATACAAACAATCCATAAAAACCCTTGATAAGAAATCAGTTCAATATCACCATTGTTTAATATTAAAGAAATACAACCTGCTTAGTTGGGAAAACTTAATTATATATGTGCATATCTGTTTAATGTTTAAGACTTTACATAACCCGACTTCACCATTAAATCAGTTTGTAAATATTAGAACGACTGCTCACCGAACTACTAGAGGAGGTGACAGAGGAGACTGCATTATTCCTCTCAAAAAAAGTAAATTCAGTCAATCTGTATTTTCAGTGAGAGCTGCTAGGGAATGGAACTCCATCCCACCAACAATTAGAAGATCATGCACTTTTCATTCTTTTTTTGGTCCATATTGACATGATAGCATCACACAGTTGCTGCAGATTTGGTCCATGATCCGAATCTCCCATTCCACCACATCCTAAAGGTGCTTGAATGGATTGAGACTGGTTCCAGCTGATAGAAAAGCAACAGTAACTCAAATAAGCACTCGCTACAACCGAGGTCTGCAGAAGAGCATCTCTGAACACACAACACGTCCAACCTTGAGGCGGATGGGCTACAGCAGCAGAAGACCACACCAGGTGCCGCTCCTGTCAGCTAAGAACAGGAAACTGAGGCTACAATTCACACAGGCTCACCAAAACTGGACAATAGAAGATTGGAGAAACGTTGCCTGCTCTGATGAGTTCTAAAGTTATATCCTTTCAGTGGTTTGTTATGCAGTGACATGCAGTCAAATATTTCGCCAAACAGTCCTTAGGGATGCGGTAAAACGCAGTCAGATATTTTACCGGACAGATCCGCCACTTTTGGCGCGCATAAACAATCATAAAGCTCTCGTGCTGCAGGAATGAGGAGGTCTGCTGAAGGCGCGCAGCTGTCGTGCAGTGAGAGATTTGTGTCTTTAATAAACTACGGCAGTTTGTGATCACTGAACAGTAAGAATGATTAATAAATCCATATGAAACAACCCCTTAAAAGTCACGTGTCTCTTTCAGTTTCGGGCTTTGGCGCGTTTTGCACTGAGCGTCTCTCTCTCTCTCTCTCTCTCTCTCTCTCTCTCTTTCTCACTCACTCACTCACTCACTCACGCGGGCATGCACTGTGGTCTCATGAGGAAACGCTGATTTTTGATATAGTGTTTTCCTTGCTCCCGAATACAAATAATATTTCAAGTATTTGTTCGAATCAAGTATTCGTAAAAACACGCTATTCGTGCCTTTCCGAATACCGTATTCGGGTTCGGCTCCACCCTTAATACATACGTATATATACATATACATATATATATGTATATATACGTATGTATGTATATATATATAAATATACATATATATATGTATATGTATATATGTATTTGTGTGTGTGTATATATATATATATATATACTTTTGTACCTTTAGGGTAATCTATGAGATAAACTATTTAAACATTTTAGGTAATAATATATAGGCATATGTCATTTAAAGTTATCTTGTCATTTTAATCACAGCTCACAAAAGCAACTGAATCCGATTCTCTTAAACCCCCTCTGAGCATAACTAAAACCTTCAGCTTTAGCTTTAGTACTCTAAATCCTTACCAATTAGACCTCCTTACTACTAACAAAGACATTAATATTTTTAAGATCCTTCTGAGTATGACAGATGTTTCTCAAAACACACAAACTCCCTTCTTCTCCCGCCTTCAGTAGTGTGTGAAATGTGAATGAAGCGAGGCGGGGCGTATTTATCATGTCACATCTGTAACCACGCCCTCCCTCAGTGACGTCAGAGGTTTGGTTTGTACTTGCGACGTGCAGAACGCAGAGCAACACAGCCACGCGCTTGTAGAGGAGAGCGCAGCGGGATGGAGCGCGCGCGCTGCACGGTGTCGATCCCGACCCCTGTGGTTTATTTAACGGGAATATCTTACCGTGATGAACGGACGCGGTTGTTCGTTCGTATATGTTGATGCTGACGCGTTGTGCGTGAAAGTTGACCGGTGGAAGCACCGGATTTAAAGGGTCGGTGACATGGAGAAGTGCCCGACAGTTCTGGATCCCGACGGGGATAAGCAGTACTGCGAGCTGTGTGGGAAGATGGAAAACCTGCTAAAATGCGGTAGGTGCAGGATCTCATTTTACTGCAGCAAAGAGCATCAAAAGGAGCACTGGAAAAAGCACAAACTCACCTGCAGAGAGGCTGACAAACACAACACTGTGCCCCAAACCCAACAACAGCACCCCAAAACTGCCCATCCAGAGAAAAACAACCTGATCTGCAGCTCAGAAGCTGATCTGAAAGCCAAACCCCACACACAGAAGCTGGCCACCGATTATATAATCCCATGTATGAACAAGCATGGCATCTGTGTGGTGGACAACTTTCTGGGGGAAGACATGGGACTGTCCATTTTGGAGGATGTGAAGGCTCTTCATCAGACGGGTAAATTCACTGACGGTCAGCTGGTCAGTCAGAAAAGTGACTCTTCGAAGGACATACGGGGGGATAAAATCACCTGGATTGAGGGGAAGGAGCCTGGATGCGAGAAAATCTGCTTCTTGATGAGCCGCATGGATGACCTGGTCAGGAATTGCAATGGGAAACTGGGAAACTACATAATTAATGGAAGGACTAAAGTAAGTATCTGTCTGTCAACTGTGTGCATGCTGTATTTTAGGGTTATGGTGATGTCAAATGTGCATGTTTTAGAGAATTGATGAAGCTTTTCATGTACAGTATTATCACAATAGGTGAATAATAATAAGTGATGAACAGGTATGATAAAAAAAAACGGTTTATCAAATGTTCAGAGTAAACAAATGTTTCAACCTAATTAAATGTAATTGAATTTTAAAATTTTAGTTAGCATATTAAAATCGGAAAAGTCACATTCATTACAGTTACTAAGTTAATATTAGGTGCCATAGTTAATATATGAAATAATTTTTCAGCACTCTTCAGAATAACTTGCTTTGTGTTCAACAGATGAAAGAAACTCATAAAAGTTTACAACCACTTGAGTCTGAATAAATGATGAGGACAATTTCATTTTCAACTGGCAACCAAAATTGTCAGTAAGTTATTGTAAATTTATTTTGCAACCAAACCTGCAACCAAAAATTTCAGTACATTACTATAAATTTATTTTGCAACCAATCTGGCAAAAAAAAAAAAAAAAAAAAAAAATTGTCAGTAAGTTACAGTAAAGTTTTAAGTTACAATAAGTTACTATAAATGTATTTTGCAACTGGCAACCAAATTTGTCAGAAAGTTACCATAAATGTATTTTGCAACCAAACTGGCAACCAAAATTGCCAGTAAGTTATTGTAAATGTATTTTGCAACCAAAATTACCAACAAGTTACTGTAAGTGTATTTTATAACCAAACTGGCAACCAAAATTGTCAATACCTTACTGTAAATGTATTTTGCAACCAAACTGCCACCAAAATTGTCAGTAAGTTACAGAAAAGCTTTAAGTTACAATAATTTACTGTAAAGGTATTTTGCAACCAATCTGGCAACAAAAATTGTCAGCAAGTTACAGTAAAGTTTTGAGTTACAGTAAGTTACTGTAAATGTATTTTGCAACCAATCTGGTAAAAAAAAATTGTCAGCAAGTGACAGTAAAGTTTTGTTACAATCAGTTACTGTAAAGGTATTTTGCAACCAAAAATTTCAGTAAGTTAATATAAATGTATTTTGTAACCAAACTGGCAACCAAAATTGTCAGTAAGTTACAGTAAAGCTTAAAGTTACAATAATTTACTGTAAATGTATTTTGCAACCAATCTGGCAACCAAAATTGTCAGTAAGTTATTGTAAATTTATTTTGCAACCAAAATTACCAGCAAGTTACTGTAAGTGTATTTTGTAACCAAACTGGCAACCAAAATTGTCAATAAGTTACTGTAAATGTATTTTGCAACCAAACTGGCAACCAAATTTGTCAGTAAGGTACAGTAAAGCTTTAAGTTACAATAACTTACAGTAAATGTATTTTGCAACCAATCTGGCAACAGAAATTGTCAGCAAGTTACAGTAAAGTTTTGAGTTACAATCAGTTACTGTAAATGTATTTTGCAACCAAAAATTTCAGTAAGTTAATATAAATTATTTTTGCAACCAAACTGGCAACCAAAAATATCAGTAAGTTACAGTAAAGTTTTAAGTTACAATAAGTTATTGTAAATGTATTTTGCAACTGGCAACCAAAATTGTCAGTAAGTTACCATAAATCTATTTTGCAACCAATCTGGCAACCAAAATTGCCAGCAAGTTTTGCAGTACTTTTTAGTGTAGTGTTTTGGATTTAATTGTATTTTGAATGCAGTTACTCATCATTTATTCAGACTCAAGTGGTTGTAAACGTTTATGAGTTTCTTTTATCTGTTGAACACAAAACAAAATATTCTGAAGAGTGCTGAAAAAAAGCACCCTTTAACTTCCATTGTAAGAACACAAATAGTATAAACACTGGGTGAACTGACCCTTTAAGTAACATGTAGAGTTGAAGGAGATTATTTTCTAGACATAATAGTTTAATAACTCATTTCTAATAACTGATTTCTTTTATCTTTGTCATGATGACAGTAAATAATATTTGACTAGATATTGTTCAAGATACTAGTATTCAGTTTAAAGTGACATTTAAAGGCTTAACTAGGTTAATTAGGGTAACTAGGCAAGGATATGAGTGGTTTGTTCTGTAGACAATCCAAAACAAATATTTTATTTGGATTTTAAAAATTAAAAACGGCTTTTATTATTTTGGTTTTATTGTAACCAAAACAAATAAAGCGTTCTCCAGATGAAAAATTAGTATAGGAAATAATGTGAAAAAATTCCTTGCTCTGCTAAAATGATCTGGGAAAATTTTGAAAAAGAAAAAACATTCTCATGAGGGCGAATAATTTTGAGTTCAACTGTATCTCACTGCCCCCCTACTATGGTCATTTGCATGACCATTTGTAATCCTCAAATGTGTGTCTGAGGGCCAGTGGAGTGTGTGTGATTCACTGAAGGACAGTGAAAAGAGTCTGAGCTGCAGATCAGAGTTCACACGCAAGGTCACAGTCATGCTGAGGCCCAAAAGAGGCTTAGATGCACAAAAAACACACATACGCCAATGCTAATGTGGCCTTAAAGGGACAGTTAACTAAAAACTGCAGCTCTTTTGCTCACCCTCAGAGTGTACAAGATGAACACCCATATACTCTCATATTCACACACACACTCATACACTACGGACCATTTAGCTTATTCAAATCACCTATGGTGCATGTGTTTGGACTGTGGAGGAAACCGGAGCACCCGGAAGAAACCCACGCCAACACGGGGAGAACATGACCCAGCCGGGATTGGAACAGGCGACCTTGTTGTAAGGCTACAGTGCTAACCACTGAGACACTGTCCCGCTTAAAATGTATTATTATTATTATTATTTTTATTATTATTATTATTAATATTATTATTCATTTATTTTCTTTTTCTTGTTATATATATATATATATATATATATATATATATATATATATATATATATATATATATATATATATATAAAACAGCATATATGATTATATACATATACACACACACACACACACACACACACATATATATATATATATATATATGTATATATATATATACACACATACATATACATATATATACACATATACATACATACATACATATATATACACATATACATACATACATATATATATATATATATATATATATATATATATATATATATATACATACATATACATATATATATACACATGTACATATACATATATATATATATATATATATATATATATATATATATATATATATATATATATATATATATATATATACATATATATATATATATATGTATGTATGTATGTATGTATGTATGTATGTGTGTGTGTGTGTGTGTGTGTGTGTGTGTGTGTGTGTGTGTATATATGTATATAATCATATATGTTGTTTTATATATATATATATATATATATATTTTTTTTTTTCCCCAGGGCATATATTACATACAGTACACAGACACGCGCATATATATATATATATATATATATCATGTTTCAGAATATGTCAAGAAGGGTTTCCTTTTCTCTCATTTTTGTTTAATTTACATGAAAATAACCTAAAATATCCAAAATTAAAACCTTTCAGTTCATATATATGAACAGAACAATACTAATTAATAAAACAAACACACAAAAATAAGACTAAACTGTGGTTAAGCACTGTTTAACAGAAAATATGTGCAGTAAATGAGATTAGAAAATGCTGCGATTTCAGAGCTTTGACCGATTTATTTTAATCTCTTTAATATTTGCCAAGTTAAAGCTTTAAACAGGCCGCAGATTTGACTTGCTTTATTGTATTAAAGTTAAATCAACAGAACTCTTGAGACCCTCCTTAAATCACACTTTAATTGAGCACTTAATATGAGGATTATTAATAATGCTAAAATATTGCTGAGAACTAATAACAAAATAACTAAAAAACTAACAATAGCAGAATATTGCTGAGAGCTAATAACTCCAACACGGGCTCATTCTGCAAATGCAGCCCTATATGCATTTCTGGAGATCAGGAATTATGTAGCCAGAGGTACATATGGCTGTATTTCGTCTTTAAATTGAACGCCATGTGGCGGTTTGATGCCATTCCTTTTCGTGCTTACCAGCTGACAGCTTACCTCTGTATGGATGGCTTTCACCAGTTTTTCCAGTAGCTCGCCATGTACGTATGACTTGAGATGCAGTGAGGAGCTGACCGTGATGACTGGGTTCGAGTTCCAGTTCCAGAAAGCAGAAAAGAAAAAAAAACAGAAGCCAAAAAATAAAATAAACAAGTAAATAACAGGGTGAGAACATGGTAAAATCTGAAAACGTGGTAAACGTTCTGCATTGCTTTTTAAAACTGTTGATTCAGTTTAAGGAATTGGGTGGGCGCTGGTCAATTGGTGCTTTTGAAAACAGCCTACCCAATTTACCTGTACCGCATGTCTTTGGACTGTGGGGGAAACCGGAGCACCCGAAGGAAACCCACGCGAATGCAGGGAGAACATGCAAACTCCACACAGAAACGCCAACTGAGCCGAGGCTCGAACCAGCGACCCAGCGACCTTCTAGCGGTGGGGCAACAGTACTACCTACTGCACCACTGCTTCGCCCCCAGACATATACACATAATTAATAACAATAATAACATCTAAAGTTGTCGATCTTGGTGGGGTTTTTTTCAAACACAACTAATTTTGTCCTAAATGAGCATAAAAATTTAGGAAAGCAATCGAATGATTTTTATTAAAACATTAGATGTGTGCATTTTTAAAGTGACGCCTCTGTTGTTTTTAATGTAAATCAAACGAAAAATCTAAATAAATGAGATTCATTTGCTGCTATTTACTCAGAATGTGTAAGTTATACAGTGAAAAAAAGGTTAATGGGATTTCATAACCTGGTGAGGGTGTGTTATGGTGGGCATATCCCTTATTTTCACATCCCAATGTTGACAGGTATGGTTTAAGGAAGGAGGAGGGTGGGTCAGTCAATCGGTCAGTCAGTCAGTCAGTCAGTCAGTCGATCGGTCAATCAGTCAGTCAATCAGT